TGTGGGTACCTATTTGCCTATTTGTCATCAACATGCAAAACCATAGGAATATGTGGGAAAGGTAAATAGAAACAGTGTAAAGTTTGACACAATTTCCACAAGGTCCAGTGTGTAATATTCAGGAGGCTCTATTAGCAGAAGTGAAACATAATATTCATAGGTATGTTTCATTAGTGTATAATCAACTGAATATGGGAATTTTGGGCATTTTTATCTACACACGCCGCAGTTCACCTTCCATGGAGTCCACATGTTGAACCGCCATGTTTCAACAGTATCTCAGAACGGACAAATCAAACACTGGCGGTATATAGGGGCTTCTCAGCCACCGTAGTTTCTCCTACACAGTTCACAGCCCGTTCTCATTCCCAGGTCATTAAATACAGACGTAAGCAGTGTTCAGTTACTTGGTATCTGCAACTTTACTGCTAGATGACACTAAATCTTACGCACTGGTCTTTTAATAGGAAAAGTTCAAACAAACGTGTGTGCTTTTTGAAACAGCCCTGTATAGCTTATACACATTATGGGTACTAGATAAAAAAGACAGGAAGTGGGAGCAGCTTGGTAGGCAAATAGTTACAGTTTATGCCGCATGGCCGCACAGTCGCATCCGTCACTGGTTCAATTCCAGCCGACGACCTTTGTTGCACGTCACATCCCTCTGTCTCCCACATTTCCTAGCACCTCTTCACCCTATGGAAAAAAGGGAAGAAATCCCCCTACCCACTCAAAAAAAGACAGGAAATGTGGATACATTCTCATTTGGGCTTTACTAAGCAAAAAAATGCTGATGAATATAAGCAAATAACTTGATTAACTGCACTCCTATAATAAATGACTCTTCCTCTCTGGAGATAACTTGTTCTGTATCCTCTGACAAAACAATTCTCTTTTAGGATCATCAAATCACTTAGCGAAATGTTTGGCTTGAGGACAAGGGATTTTATGAGAAAAACAGGGACGATTACATAATAGGCTGATGACTCCCCATTATCTCTGTCTGCTGCACTGAGAAGCTCCTGAAATAACTGGTGTTTGGGAGTATTTAACATTTATAGAGGCAAACATGTTGGGACAAAGGGCATCGAAGGTAACAGATCTACCCAACAAAAGGACCTGACTCCTACACGGGGGAGAGAGGGGAGACAGTCACAAGCACAAAGTCGCTAACAGTGCACACTGGTGCATGCACAGCGCGCGCACACACATTCACAGCTTTTTACCCCCAGGCATATGATGACATTTCAGCACCTAACTCAGACAATACCACTGCAGTGCTTCTCGCCTATTACAATTCTTTTGTGTAAAGCATGTGTGTATGTACGTGCACATATGCCGTCTGTCTCCCAGCACCTGTCTGCTCATCAGACCTCATTCTCTTCCCAGTCTATCCCCTTTCTTTTCTGTCTGTCTCCCCGTTTGTTTCTCTCTGTGTTATCTAACAAGCTGGAGAGGGTCATGTCCCGCTAGGAGCCGGCTGAAACAGGAAATAACCAATCCAGGAGGATGAACAGCGACTTAGGCAGCCAGTTCCCACAGTCCTACCCAAACACAGCGTTATTGGGCTGTAATGCAATTATCCAAGGGGTGGGGAGGAACTGGTTACTAGTTGAAGAACAACTCAGAGCAATGGCTGTGATGGCATTTTGGCGCAAGCTGAATTCAAAGGAGGTAATAATAACGACAGCAGGTGGAGGATGTTATGTAAGCAGAGAGGATAGCTGGAGAAACATCAGGACGGCGGGGGTTTCTTTTTGTTTGCTTGTTTTGCTCCGTCCGCACTCATCATTCGGCATGTTGCTTTTGTAATGTGAACACGCTCATTGTTTGTTTTCAGCTAAGCAGACGGCAGTTAGGACAGCGAGGAGTGAAAGAATATCAAAAGGCCGTTCACCAGTCGCGTTTTCTGTTGAATAAACAGCATATTTGGTAGCAGCGCTGTAAGTGTAGCTGGTTTTGTTCTCCTGTCTCCTTGCACACCTGAGCTGGCCTTTCAGCACAATGGACTCCACCTTTCAATCCTTATCAGACCTTATCGCAGTGTGTATGTGTGGGTGGGGGCGGCAATATCAGTTAAGAGCTGAAGGGATGAGATTGGTTTCCCATTTCATGCCTCCTGCCATCTCTCTTGTTAAACAAATCATATTGAAATTCATGAACATACTGTATAGGAAAATGGACCAAAAGGATATGCACACATACGCATTCAGGATGCCAGTTTCCCCCACCTAACCACCCACCTTGCCAGATTTGATAAAATCATTATCACCAGCCATGCGAGTACAACTAATGAATAATGTATGTACTGCTGGGCCACAATAGTGCATTCCTTCTGGCCTGCTACCTTTCTCTTAGAGTCACAGTAGCTACCGGTTGCTAGTTCCACTGCTTGGGGTCATATCAGCTAATCCCTGTCTACCGCTATTACAATTTCCATTAGCATGGGACACCACTGCATGTGCACATGCACACTGGTATGCACACAGAAGCATTTGTTGAATGCACACATATAGACACAAGGGTACTCTTCAGAGAGAAAATAAATTGGATAGGTATATAGACAGACACAACTGCACTCATTAAAGGTGACGACAGATGTGACAGACAGACGTGACTGACAGATCCTCGAACTGGAGAATAAGTAGGCATCAGGTGTTAGACTGCATCCCTTCATGATCAACACAAAGAAATGATAACATGCTTCAGATGTAACGCCATGATGGACAGCTTGGGTTGGATGCGATAGGCGAGACGTCAATTATTTCAATCGTCAAGGGTAACGGATCATACATGGACACAACCTCCTCTTTAGGCCCCTCACCTACACATTCACATACCATACACACAGAAAAACCGTACACAATAATGCATGGGGGTTGTAGTACTCAAAACACGCTTGGTCTTCACTTTGTAGCGCTTCGATTTGTCTCACTTTCTTGACAACCAGTTTTGTCTTAAATGTTCACTCTCATTTTTTAGTCATATGTCAAAATACAGTGTTGGACACGATGTACATAAAAGTGCACAGGTATATTTAAGAAGAGGCCAGTGCATTATTCTAGTTCACTGTTATCTGATGGAGAAGATGGACAAGAAACGAGTAAGTCAACAGTCAGGTTAACGTTATAATTTGCTAATGAGCCAGTATAATGTCGTCTTTAGACTGCAAGGTCAGACAGCACACATCTGTGCAACATTAGCCCAAAGCTATGAGTCTAATTAATATTCATATGGGGGAGGTTAGCTCATTACCCGCAGTTATCAAACAGGAACATTGTATATTGTTTACTTTGGTCTTTCTTTTATTGCTGTTCCTAAACCGCTGCTGCAATCATGTGGTTTAATATGCTCGTACAGTACAGAGAAACATGACCTTTAGCCTCTCGTGTGTTGTCTCAGAAGAAAGAAAAAAAAATCTTAGGCGGTAATTTTCGGTCATAAATGTGTCTGATCACCACAGATTATTTATTGTCACAGAGAAGTGAAAATAGATGGGAAGAGAAATCTGAGAATATCTAAATCTTGCCATTAAAGAGGAGGCGACTGATGTCGTATTTACAAGGTAAAGATAACGCACAACTAACTTTACCAGGCAGTCTTACAAACTGTTATGTTTTTAATTAACTCACAATTTAAAAAAAATCTGCAATGCAACATTTCATGCGTTTTACCAATAGATGGAAATCATCAAACACTCACGACTTCTGCATGTCACCGCTCTAAAGACTTTGAATTGGTTCTACAATGCAGTTTTTCTTAACCCTCTAATCGTTTCCACACAGTTCTAGCAACGAATGCTGGGAGAGAGTCCTCATTCTCTATTGAGGCTTGTGAGTTTAGGCCGTACTGACAATTTTGTTTTTGCTCTTTTAGGCTATGCACACCCACACAGGTGTTTTCAATTACTCTGGATGGTTGGACCTCTGCTCAGGTTGAAGGTGAGTAGAGCTATGCTGAGAAGAGCTGACTCTATGGACTGATAAGAATGATAAAGGTGTAATTTGCCCCGTCCAACAAAGCTAAGAGGAGGTTCAT